CTTTAATTCTTAACGTTTTAAGTCTTGTCTGAATCCTTTACAGTGAACTTCAAGCAAGATACTGTGTGAAAGCCCTGGGGCAGGACCACACATTGGAAAGAGCACATACAGTACTTTATAGATCAGGCGCAGCTGGTTCAAGCTCTTGCTCTACTTAACAAAATCTGTGACCTCGGGCAAATTACTTAACCCCAAGCCTGATTTCATCAACCCTGAGTCACAAGGTTATTATAAGAATTAAATGAAATAATCTAACCTTAAATCCTTTCTGGAACAAGATGACAGATGAATTTATTGCCATTAGAAACACTCAAATCTGTAGCCAAACTGATGACAGTTGCTGGGAAGCAAAATCCCAACGGATGGAGAAAATGCTCTGGAAAACAGTTTTGCACCTTATTTTATAAATTACAGTCAAAAGAGAAGGCGTAAATGGATTACATGACATGTATTGGTGATAGATTAGGGAGGTAGGAGAAAGAAAATCGGCGGCTGGTGAGACCGCTGGGATTAGATAAAAAGTAAAATGATAGACACTTCTTTTACACAGGTGGGTACAGGATAGTTAACACAGTCAACAACATAACATTGGCGGGGAGGGGATCTGTGGCCCTGAGCTACTCTGACATTCCAAAGGAATGTTATTGTAGATGCAAATAGACAATAGACAGGTTCAGTTAAGGTAAAGACTGAGTTTTGTCGGGGAAGATTCTAGCCAAGGACATGACCACCTGCCATGCACTGCTTAAAGAGTTTTAATTTCAGACCGTCATCTTATGTGGTTCCCGTAGGTCTGGAGTTTGTAAGGCTGCCATGCAGGCCTTGCCTGAGCTTGTCAGGTTTAGTATGTAGCCCCTCTTTGTCCGCATTCTGAATGAAATATAATTGAGATAATTACATAAAGTACCTGGTCCTTACAGGTGCTCAATAAATGACCAAAAAAAAGTCATTTTGAACTCAAAATGCTACACAATTATTAATGTGTTCCTATTTATCTATAAGTTGGAGGCAGTCTCAATCCCACACTCTCTTTCAAACCTCTATTTGCCTCTATCTAACATGACATTCCCTAGGGGAGTGGGAAAGGGGGGTGGTTAGCTGGCTGGTGTGGCTCAGTTGGTTGAGCGGTGTCCTGAACTCTGACAGGTCACTGGCCGGATTGCTGGTCAGAGCACATACCCAGGTTGATCCAGGGCGTGTACAGGAAGCAACTAATGGATGTTTTTCCTCACATCGATGTTGCTCTCTCCTCTCCCTTCTTCTCCCTCTAAATTCAATTAAAAAAAAAGAGAGAGAGTAAAAGGGAAGCTTACTCTTTGTGACGGTGACAGGAGTGATCAAAAAGACAGAGGAAGGGGTCTGTTTTCCCTTAAGAGCTAGGAGTCTTTAGAGTTCTTGAATGTTTGTCAGGCCAGGGGTTAAAGACAAGAGAAATGCAACCAGTCCCTCGTCTGACTGGTACCAAGTGCGGGGCGCTTCACCCCCTACTCAGCCACCTCCAGTCAAGCAAAGAGGTCCCCACTGTGTTTCCTATTGGCACTGGGATTGACGAGGGTGGGGAGGGAACAGGTAGAGACGATCGAACTTGCAAAGCTGCAGGACTTAGCCCTCACTTTGCTGTTTGCTCCTCCAGGACTTGCCCCTTTTCTCCCCGGCATCCCACAAGTGTTTGCACCCTGTTTTCAAGACAGGAGTTTACACGATTTTTTCTTCTTCCCAGCCAGGAACTGAGAAAGAGAAAGAAGAATCCGGGGGCAGATTTTTATCTGAATTCCAGGCTATTGGGTGAAAGGTCGTAAACAACTCTGTCCAGGAGGGTTCCCTTCCAGAACATGCCTTGGCTGCAGGCCTGGTTGGCAGCTGCTGCCAAACCGAAATAGTTTTTTGGCATTTAAGGAAACCCAGACATTTCACAGAGCAAACAAGAGGTCTGTACTGAAAGAAAAAAGAAACTGAAGCCCAAGAGAGGAACTTAGAGCAAGAGAAAATCGTATTAAATTTTTTTAAATTAAAAAATTCAATACTTCATAGATGTGCCCAAATACTTCCCTTTTTCTAAGATGTCCCAACTCAACACCACCCTGATCGACTAATACTTCTTCCATCCCCTCAAAATGTACCTAGCTACATATCACACATTATCTAACAACATGGATTTGTGTATTTCTTTGTAATCATTTTGATGTTTCATTTTATGTACACTTTCATACCCAATCAAACTAAAAATTCTCCCAGAGCCATAATATTGAATTTAAAAAAAAATTTTTTTTAGTGAAAGTCACACCTTTGCTACTCCAGATAATTCAATGAATATTGTGACTAACCCGAAACAACCAGGCCTCGTTGGTTCACTTTCTAGAACAGGGTGTTGCCTCTATCAGCCGTGGGCAAACTACAGCCCGCGGGCCGGATCCGGCCCGTTTGAAATGAATAAAACTATTGAAAAAAAAGACCATACCCTTTTATGTAATGATGTTTACTTTGAATTTATATTAGTTCACACAAACACTCCATCCATGCTTTTGTTCCGGCCCTCCGGTCCAGTTTAAGAACCCATTGTGGCCCTCGAGTCAAAAAGTTTGCCCACCCCTGGTCTAACTCATACACCCTAAGGATCGACATGATACCTTTTTTGTTTGTGGGAATTGATGCTGTGTGTGTGTATAAATATGTATGTGTTGTATATGTATGTGTGTGTGTGTGTTTCCAACAGTCTTGATGCCCGATTCTTGGGCTTGCTTAATACTGAGGTTGAATTGTAACTTGTTAGCCTTAGGATGTCAACCGAGTTAGGCGGGTTGAGGAAAAAGGATTCTTAACAGCAATGAAAAGCCTTTTTTTTTTTTTTTTGCTGATAGGGTAGAATTTCTGTATATTCTAATGCTTTTTACTTCCTCATCTCAATCTTGGGGACATTATCTTCCTCTTTCTAGTACAAGAAATGAGGTAATAACCACCTGATGCCGGGCAGGAACCCGAGGGGCTCAAGAATCAAGGAAAAGGTGAAGAATCCCAGCAACTGTGCATGCAAATGTTTCTCATCACACTTGTGAGTTCTCAGGAGTCAGCTCCTGACCTAAGGCATTTCGTGGCCAGCCAGGGAGAGGCCCCTCTGACAGACAAAAGACAACACCAACACCAACACCGAGGGAGGAGATAGGGTCCCCTTAGGTTTGACATATCACCTTCTGATGACCCCCTGTCTTCTATTTCCTTTCTTACTAATTCGAATAGGTTAGGAAAAAACTTCTAAAAGAGAAATTCTTCCTGCAAATAGGAATATGACCATCTCGGCCACTAACACTTTCGTTATAAACAAGAGAACTTTCCTGTGTTTAAATATATATATATATTTATTAATGAGAGGAGAGAGATATCAAGTTCTTGTTCCACTTATTTATGCGTCCACTGGTTAATTCTTGTACATGCCTGACTAGGGATCAAACCCACAACCTCGGTGTACTGGGACAATGCCCTAACCAAGGACACACCAGGCCAGGGCGAGAACTGAGAACTTTCCTGCTTTTAACTACCTTGGAGCCTGGGAGCGGGGTAGGCTACAGATTTAGGAACACGCCTTTGATTAATGATTTGAAGAGGCGATAAAGACCAAAAAGAAGCGAAAGTACCCAGGAAGAAAGGGAAAAGAGTGAACCCTCCGTTCTTGCCGCTTTCCTGGAAAAGCAACGAGGGAGACAATGAGAACCTAAGGGTCAGCCTCAGTGGAGAGGTCAGGAGGTACTTGGGGAAGCAGACACCGTGTTCCCCAACTTTGCAGGTAGGAACTGCAGCGATGAGGGATCAGCAACAGGATGTGAACACGCCCTGACTGTTTCCGTTCCAGAGAACAGACTGCAGGGTACGGAGTGAAGAACAGGGTACAGGGATGAAGAACAGCACAGGCCTCCAGCCCGAGCCCCGAGCCAGGAGGGGGGCGGGGAATAGAAGTGGGGGGAGGG